GCAAAAGTCCCGTGATAGCATTGTACAGAATCAAGAAAAAAAAAAAGATTAAAACAAAATTGGAAATTCCAAAATAGAATTGTTATCCTCCAAATGACATCGATATCAATAAAACAGCAATACCTTTGGGAAGAGTATTGGCCAATTAAAGAAACTTGACATGAACAGTCATCGATTATTAATTGGCATGAAATACATATATGTTCTAAACCCCGGGATGATTACAATGGCTGTCGAAGAAAGTAAAGCTTCAGTGGCAAATTGAAGTTTATTTTTTAAAGCTTTCTTTGTAAGACTCTAAGTAGCAAACAGCGGCACTGAAATTGTAAAATTAAAAAATTTGAAAACTTGAAAATTATTTCAAGAATTGACGAGAGATTAGAATTTATCCAGTGGAAAATATTGCCTCACAGAATTGGAAAACTTTAATTCTGAAAAAAATCTAAAATGACGTCCAAAACGGTAAGTACCACGTTGAACATTATTATTATTATTATTATTATGATTAATTATATTTGTACTTTAGCATTTTATATTTAAATAACACCTCATATAATAATAATAATAATAATAAAAATCGTCCTCACATGTACAGCCAACACCTTACGAAAGGCTTTATCTGTATAAAATATGTGCGATATTTTTATTATTATTATGATGAATTATATTTGTACTTTAGCATTTTATATTTCAATAACATCTCATATAATAATAATAATAATAATAATATTAATAATAATAATAATAATAATAATAATAATAATAAAAATCGTTCTCACATGTACAGCCAACACCTTACGAAAGGCTTTATCTATATAAAATATGTGCGATATTTTTTTCAAAACTGCTCAGTGAAAAATGTCATGATGCCATTTCTGACCTTAGGTCTCTGGTCGGGACCCGGAAAGAAATGAATATACACCAGAAATCAAAGGAAATAATAATAATAATAATAATAATAATTTTTTCTCGGCCGAGTGCATCCTTCAGATCTATAAATCAACCTTTCGCCCTTGCATAAGCCTAAGTTCTGGGTAGGCGCGACATGCACACTCGGAGTTTCACGCTTCTTTCCTCGACTGTTTTGTCCCTTCATTAAGGGTGTTGGAGTTAGACGCTTTCTGGGTTTTGGCGTCATCCGCCTGATAATTAAGTAACTTTGATGGAGGCTATCCTAACAGCAGGGGCTATTCAACTGCTGTCATATATGGTCTGGTGCCTTAGCTGCTCGTCTTAAGATCCTCGACAAAATCCAGAGACGAATATGCAATATGGTTGGCCCTGATCTAGCATCTCGTCTACAGTCGCTCTCTCACAGACGTGTCGTCGCCTCCCTCTGTCTTTTCTACAAATACTTTCAGGGTAACTGCTCTGACGAGCTACTTTCGCTAGTTGCCAGCCTGCATGAATTTAAATTCATGTTTCGCACTTCCCGTCTGTGGAAGTCGCTTCCTCTTACTTGTTTCCCTGATAGCTTTAATCTCCAAATATTCAAATGCAATGTCAATCGACATCTCCAGATGCCTTGATCTATTCCCCGTCCTTCTTTTCATCCTTTCCTCTATCACGTCTCTTTACTCTTGCTCCCACTCTCTGTAACCCCTTGCGTGCTAGTGGCACTTCCGCCTTGCTTGGGCTTAAATGCTTAAAAAATATCATTATTATTATGTCAGCACAAGATCCATGTCTTTCGATTAAGGCCTACAATGCTAAAATCAACAGATATGGCTCAAATCACTCCTGTCGCTCATGCCATATATTTGATGAAACTGTTGACCATATAGAATCAAGGTGTCCAGTCCTTGCTGAGAAAGAATACATTTTTAGATATGTGTTATAGTGGAACACACCTATTATATAGTTAATAGACTCTCCCACCTATAATAAGTAGGAGTAGTAAGAGTAACGAGGGGTCGCTCAGTGGGTCGGTCTGAGTTCAGTCTGAAGTCGGATGACCGGCGGACAGGTTGAACTCTCTGCCTTCGAGCGGGGAGGAACTCGAACGAGGCTACGCCAAAGGGCGGAGTCTCTTTCGGGGAGGTAAACCGACCCTGAACCCGTTTATACGGGTTCAAAGGGCATATTTTTGACCGAGCCCACGGGCTCGGAGATCCTACGTTAAACCGGCCTTGTGCCACATGATGCCCTCGTGGGGGGGGGGACTGAATACCGCTCAGTGGGTCGGTCAGTCAGTCGATGCCGGACGACCGTTAGTCGGATATTAAAGTATCAGCCACCACAACTAGATTTCTCTGCGTAATACTTATTATATCAAGTTCCTAACGTTTTGTACGTCGAACCTATTTTAGGACCGACTTAGTGCAAATACAAGCCTCCACTGTGAAATCACTCCATAACAATATGACAGGTTAGGAAAATATATTTATTGGTATACCTGTTCGAACTTTGCTATTGAAGTCCCAGGAAATTGGTCTAAACACTACCCGAATGTTATCACAAATGGTGATGGTGTGATATACTATGGAATTTCCCAGTCCTCACAGAGAGGAAAATTGATAAAGCATTTAAAAAAGGAAAGCTGCCAACTAATTGATTTGACTTGTCCACAAAACTCCAATGTTCCTAAATAAGAACCCCCCCCCATGTGAAATAGGGCCTAGTGAGTCTTTTAGTCCTACATAAGAAATTGTCTTGGTACCCTGGGTCTCTGGTCGGTACAATGTTTCTGACCCAGGGAGGAGTTCTGTTGTCTTGACTTCTGGGTACACGCGACATGCACACTCGGACTATCACGCCCGTATCTTCTTTCCTGGATTGTTTTGTCCCTTCATTAAAGGTGCTGGAGCTAGACGCTTTCTGGGTTTTGGCGTCTTCCACCTGATAGTTCAGTAACTTCGAAGGAGGTTATCCTATCAGCAGGGGTATAATATAGGGGCTATTGTACTGTCATTTTGTGAATGGGTTCTAGACTGTGCAGTAGTCTTCGGTGGGGCCTCTCGATGACATGATGAAGGGTACTATTACGTCTATAATGGACGAACCAATCCAGTTTATTTATGCACGCATCTCATGTGGGTGTGTCAGTCTCACTACTTACAACTACTTACAATATACATATATATATATATATATATATATATATATATATATATATATATATATATATATATATATATATATATATATATGTATACATACATATATATATATATATATGTATGTATGTACATATATATATATATATATATGTATGTATGTAACTATATATATATGTATGTATGTATGTAACTATATATATATGTATGTATGTATGTAACTATATATATATATATATATATATGAAACTATATATATATATATATATATATATATGTATGTATGTAACTATATATATATATATATGTATGTAACTATATATATATATATGTATGTATGTATGTATGTATGTATGTATGTAACTATATATATATATGTATGTATGTATGTAACTATATATATATATATATGTATGTATCTATGTAACTATATATATATATGTATATGTATGTATGTATGTAACTATATATATATATGTATGTATGTATGTAATATATATATATATATATATATATATATATATATATATATATGTATGTAACTATATATATTCATGAATTATTCACACAAAAACAAATGCAAAGGTTAATGATTTAATTGGCGAGAAATCCATCATCGCAAACAATTCAAATAATATACAAAAACCTCGGAATCCGTTATGAATGAAAAGATCCTTGTTTCTATAAACTTCTGCCGTATTAGTTCTTATTTTTACTACAAGCTTTCTTTTCTAATCCAAGAAAGGCAATAATGTCACTAAAACACAGGGGATTACTGGCTGTGAAAGAATTAGAAACAGAAACACGATACAATCACATATGAAATTGATTAAAATGATCAAAATTAGAAAACCCAATCTAAAAAAAAAAAAGAGTAGACTCCAGGTATGCCATCTCTTATACCAATGTGAGGGGTTTACGTTCCAACTTTCTAGAAAGGGAATTCCATCGTCTTCAGTTAAAACCCGACTTCCAGTTCTTGTAGCGAACCACACTTATTCCCTCCTTATTCTATTGGTAGGAAGTAAGTTCCCCTTGAACAGCTCTTGAACCACTTCTCTGTGAAGCCGATTGCCAAGAGAATGCTTTCCCCGACCACTACAATCTTAACCTCTTCAAGTCTAGGGTTAACCGTTATCTTCCCCACATATCCTCATAAACTTATCTCTTACTTTGTGGAAATGACTCCCAGTAGGATGCTTTCCCGACCACTACAATCTTAACCTCTTCAAGTCTAGGGTTAACCGTTATCTTCCACACATATCCTCTTAAAGTGTGCTTCTTACGTCTTACTTTGTGGAAATGACTCCCAGGAGGATGCTTTCCCGACCACTACAATCTTAACCTCTTCAAGTCTAGGGTTAACCGTTATCTTCCACACATATCCTCATAAACTGCGCTTCTTATCTCTTACTTTGTGGAAATGACTCCCAGTAGGATGCTTTCCCGACCACTACAATCTTAACCTCTTCAAGTCTAGGGTTAACCGTTATCTTCCACACATATCCTCTTAAAGTGTGCTTCTTACGTCTTACTTTGTGGAAATGACTCCCAGGAGGATGCTTTCCCGACCACTACAATCTTAACCTCTTCAAGTCTAGGTTTAACCATTACCTTCCCCACATATGCTCAAAAACTGTGCTTCTTATCTCTTACTTTGTGGAACCGACTCCCAGGAGGATGCTTTCCCGACCACTACAATCTTAACCTCTTCAAGTCTAGGGTTAACCATTATCTTCCCCACATAACCGCATCAAATATGCTTCTTACTCAAAACCCCCCAAAATCAGAAAAAGAGCCTGCAAATCGAAGTAACAAAAATGTGGAAGCTTAAAACTACGATTACCCCCCCACCCGTTGTGATAGAAGCATTGGTAGAAGGGTCCCGAAAATCAATGAGAGTAAAATTCCTAGACACATTAGTACCAGAGAACTACAAGGGGCTTACGGCCACATCACATTCAAGCGCAGGTTTCCGTAAGATCTCCGTAGTTAAGTAACTTCAAACCTAGTCAATACCTAGATGGGTGACTTCTTGGGAATGCCAGATGCTGTAAGCTTGGATCGGTATTGTTAATTAGAGAGACGAGTTCCAGTTTCCACTGGCTTTAAAAACTGTTGTAATGGAATGTTCCATTCTCCCTATTACCTATTGTGGACCGACTATATCAGTAATATATGTAGTGTGCACAGGACATACCAGAGTCTGACTGTCTGTCTATCTCTCTGACTGACTTAGGGAAGTGTTAGTCGATTCCCTGTTTTTCAGTAGTGTATTCTCTTTTACAAAAAACCTTGCTTTCTTCCATCTACGCCCGTGTTGCTGTTCCTTCAACTCGAGTACCACCTTTGTAACCTTTTTAAGGATACAACAAAAAGGAAAGCTGTCAACTAATTGATTTGACTTGTCCACAAAATTCCAATGTTTCTAAAAAAAAAAAAAATCAAATTATAAGGGCCCAGTGAGTCTTTTAGTCCTACGAGTGAAATTGTCTTGGTACTCAGGATCTCTGGCCGGTACGATATTTCTGACCCAAGGAGGAGTTCTGTTGTCTTGACTTCTGGGTACACGCGACATGCACACTCGGGCTATCACGCCTGTATCTTCTTTCCTGGACTGTTTTGTCCCTTCATTAAGGGTGCTGGAGCTAGACGCTTTCTTTTGCTAACAACGAGACATTCTATCTTCTATCAATTGATGTTTAGTCCTTTTTTCTGGCTTTCCTTCATTAACTTCTGTAATTCTTGTAGTGTCTTTTCTGTGTCTGCTATCAAGACTGTGTCATCTGCGTATCTTATGTTAAGATTAAGCCCGCCATCAATAAATCCTGGTAGAACTTCCAATTCTCTCAGAATCGCCTCACTGTATAGGGTGAATAAGTCCGGTGAGAAGACACATGCTTGTCTTTCACTCCTTTCTATTTACTGAATCCATTTTAAATCCGTATGTCGGTAGTTTGCTGTCATATATTTTCTATTCTAATGCCTTTCCCAAATATGTCATGGTTAACTAGCAGTCCCAAAAGTTCTTTGTGATAAACCTTCCCAATAATAATTGTCATGACATCAAGCCAGATATGGCTATACCAAAACGCAGAAATCCCAACGTGACAAGTTTTTGACAAATCTAGTGCATAACCTTGCAGGTGTGGTTCAGTTTAAAATAACTTCAGGTTCAGTAACACAGTCCATTCAGAGTCTCCCCTTGAAGGTGTTCTTAGATATCTCACAAACTTTCGACATCCAACATTCTAGTTCTCCGAATACTTTCACGTATGAACAGAGAGACACAGCGCGTCATCAAATATGGGATATTATTAGGGCTTGTTGATTTTTCAGCTTTTTAGAAAATCAACCTTGCACTCAATATCGAAGCTGGGGTCTGATGTGATAACTATTGGTACTAAAAATTAGATTCCTAGCTTTTACCAATTTTAGTTTTAAAGATCGTCTGAAAAATGGACAGAAATAACCAATTTCCGCAGGTTTTTCCTTATAAGCTGACTTCATAATATTACTATTGCAAGAATAAATCCAACTAAGGCTGATATCTTTTGTATTAGATATACTGAATAGAAAATATATTCAAACCAGAATTCTAATTATGAATCGCAAGAAGCAAAATCTGCATTATTTTTTATACTGTATTGGATGAGTAAAAACTGTAAAAACTTGTAAAAGATTACAAAACGTCTACTCAATGAATACGACTTGTTAGATCATCATACTTATTATAAAACCCAGGTTGTGTGTGTGTGTGTTCGTTTATATATTGGATCGGATTTCCTACATTTTTCAACCGATTTCAACAAAAGTTCACAGGACTACGTAAAATTACTTTGCGGTGGTTCTGACAGCGCCAAAAATTGGAAAAACACAATTGTTTTTGCACAAAATCAATTTGAAAACACGATTAAGAGGCATTACGAGAATGAAAAGGGGACAACTCATATCGAGTTATACTTATTATAAAACCCAGGTTGTGTGTGTGTGTGTGTGCGTGTGTGTGTGTGTGTTCGTTTATATATGGGATCGGATTTCCTACATTTTTCAACCGATTTCAACAAAACTTCACTTTTTGGGGGCAGGTAGTGTTTCTTATTGTCTTGCACACTTTTTTCTTTATTTTTACACTCAGAATGCTTTAAAAATTCCATTTACAAGACAATTGTTTATTATAAAATTCTATTCAATCGGTAGACTCATAACGATTGAAAACAATGTTTTTGTTTGAGTTTGACCAATTCGTATAAAAAAAAAAAAAAAAAAAACTAATTAAGATATGCGTGTCCGTCAACCTTAAACAATAATCTTTGTCAATTTTATTTTTCAGTCTTTATGATGGTCAATACTTGATCTATCTCTTACTGTTACACCCGCGGGCAACGCTGGGCTCTACTGCTAGTAATTAATAAAAACAAAAAAAACAGATAAAATAAAAATGTATATAACACCATAATAGAGCTGGTCATAAATTATAAGACATAGTATTTTAAATTTTCAATGTTTATTGAAAATCACACCAAAGCTACTGTCCTGTATAACATATTACATCATAATATAGTTAAATTAATCAGTATAATTTCCAGTTGAAGTAAATGAAGGTGTTATTTGATATTACCATGATTTAGTAATAATAATGTGCTTGTATCGTGTATCGTGTTCATATACAATTTGTACAACATCAGAAAATTATAAATTCTTATAAGTCTGTATTATCAGCGGAATGAATTTCATCGCTACGATTTTGAACCTAAACCTTATCTTTCCTTAAAAATGGAAAAAATATTTTGTGTTCTTATTTTAAAACCGCAACTTTCAAATTCGGTGCAATATCACTCGTCTTGTCCTAACGAAATATGCCCAAGTTGAATAACAACCAAATCTGTGGTACTTAGCGGGCTATTCACTATAGTGCAGTTATTATTATTATTGATATTATTATTTTTGGATGTATAACTTATGAACATTTTGTTTACAAGAAGTTGCTTTGTTCTCTATTTAAAAAGACTAAAAATATCTATCCGATTCAGGGGAGTTAACTCTAGAATATTTTTGACAGTTACTTTTCTTGTACCAATTTCGCATACTTTGACCAAAGTTTAGATTAATAAGTGGTTATAGAAAATACTCATCTGAACGTTCGGGGAAAGGTTTTTTTTTTTTTTTTTTTTTTAAATGATAGTGTTGCAGACCCGGTAGGGTGCAGTGCTGGTTTATTACAAAGTGGCCTTGTGCCAGACACCACACTAAACTACAGAGTCCACAAACAATGTATAAAAAAATGCGTGAATGAACAGAGAAGGAATGTGGTTAGTCCACACGTGCATATATTAAAAACATTAAGAAGATAGCCTGCACAGAATGACAGAAAACGACTGGATTCAAAACAAGTGTAATTTTCTTTATTAAATGGAAAAACAAGTAGATTATCTCGTGGTACGAGATCAAGAGGAGTAGATGTTTATTCCTTGTTTTCTGGTTAGTATTGAGATTTTCATTCTCTTTCACTTACAGTAGTTACCTGCGTCTTAGTGGCATTATTGCCTTGTTTGGGGTGAATAGAAAAAGTAGAAGTTTATTTCTTGTTTTATGGTTAGGATTGAATTTCTTGTTCCTTCTAAAGTATTTTTCATTCTCTTTCACTCCCAGTAGTTACCTGCGTCTTAGTGGCATTATTACCTTGCTTGAGGTGAATAGAGGATTAGAAGTTCATTCCTTGTTTTCTAGTTAGGATTGCGTTTCCGGTTCCTGTTAAAGCATTTTTCATTATCTTTCACTCCCAGTAGTCCCTTGCATCGTAGTGGCATTATTGCCTTGTTTGGGGTGAATAGAGGTGTAGCGAGGAGGAGACGAGATGATTTCATGCCTTTTCTAAAGAGATTAATGCGAATTGAATGCAAACAGCTTCAGCAGAAATTTGAACTCGGCTCATAGATTTTATTTTCAGTATCAGTAATCATTACGTCTACAACACAGCATACTTGACGCCGGTAATAATGGAGCCATTGATTTTGAAAAAAACTGCTTATCAATTTTGGAAAACTGTCTCCATTAAGATTTTTGTGAAGCCGGAAATGGGTAACCTGGAGGACAGAACCTTGTTGTTGTTGATACCGTTGTTGGGGTCAATTCCTTCTCCGCACCGGCAAACGTAAATTCAAGTAAAAAGAATACATTTGAGTATGGGCAAATACATATATAATTTATTTACATACATAGAAAACTAGTAACTTTTATCTGTTGATGTTGCTAAGCCAACTGGGGCGATAATGGTGAAATACGAAGCGGCATATACATTGCTGATGGCTGTTGTTGATGTTTCTCTCTCAGCGCGTTGACATGAAGGCTGTTTTATGTCCTCTCTCTCTCTCTCTCTCTCTCTCAGCTTGCCAGTTGGTCTCTCTTGGGTTTGTTTGCATAAGAGAATATAGAGCCGTCATTCGGCTCCGAATTAAAGCTTTGCTTTGCTTTTTGGAGCGAGAGTAGCTCTGTCTGGTCAATAAATTTGTTCGTTTTATTTTGGTTAAAGCGGATATATGCGTGGTGCCAATGCGCAGAAAACGTATTTACGCAGTCTGCTTTGGGTCGTCGAGCGGTCAACATCCGGTTTGTGTAGAAAAAATGCACGGCAAGATCATTGGCGCAACAAGCTCTTGCTAACCCCGCTTACTCGTACTGAGTTGTACGAGGCTGAACGTAAGAAATCTAAGAACATTTCCACGGCTATCGCATGAACTACAGTTCGGCAATCAGTGGTCCGGCAAACATAGTGGTCCGATATTTTTTTTTTCAAATCAACCGCCGTTAGTTTGTTGTCCGCCTATGAAGGCAGAGCTACACGTTGTTTACAACTTTCCATAGCAGCCGAGCCCAGCAGAGTCTTTTGGTGATACAGTTTTCTTGCCCATTTCTTATAGATAGCTGCATTTTTACCCATTCAGGATAGGAAGTATATATTATTTTTTGGTTTTGGGCTTTTTTTCGCTTTGGCATAAACAATAAAAACTTTGTTTATAAGCATTAATGATTGTTTTATTTCCCGTTTTAAACCTTTT